TTTGAACTGAGCAATATGGTGATCGCTTTGAAGAAAAAAAAAAAAAAATACGAGGCTGACTGCGTGTATCGAGCGCCTTTTTGTTCAGCGTCCTCTTTTAGCATTCCCAACATGCTCGACGAAAAATGGACAAGCTGCGTCGAAAAGCCCTCTGCTTGGAGAGCACAATCTCCGATCCCGGCCGGACACCGGCGACGAGGCGCATGGTTCCTTCCAGCTCCCTGCTCGACCTGCATGAAGATGTGCTCGAGCGTGCTGTTCGACAGGAGAACGGGCTCAAAGCGGAAGCTCCTCTCAAGCGTCCCGAGTTTTCTGAACAGATGACTCAAGGGAAGCTTCCCCTCGATTAACGAAAAAATAGTCAGAGTGCAGGCGAGCTGAGTTTGAGACGTTGCCTCCTCTTTTACTACCTTCTGTTGTGTTCTCTTCCTGCCCCAGTCTCAGGTTTACAATCATGTTCCCCTCGATGTCCAGGGCGCCATGAAGATTCAATCCTGTCTGTTACAGCGGAGCTGTTATGGGCTAGTTTCCTCAGTGTCGTGTCCGGTACCAAAAAAATGTCGACACAAAAATACACAGAACTCTGGACAGCTACCGCCATCTATGAGCGACGGCGCTCATAGATGGCGGCAACCCTGCAGCTATTATGGAAGAATGGATAGTTGGACGAGTTGGTGAGAGTTCAGCGTAGGAAACAGCGCACATAACAGACGAGGACGAAAGAGAAACACACGGGACGAGCGCACAGCTTCGCTGGTCTTCCTTCTTCACCAGAGTGGAAAGGCTGAAAGTTTTTAAAGTTTTTCTTTTATAAATGCATAATGGGTGTTTAAAAGACGCTTGCTCTACGGAGAATTTTGGCCGAAAACATAAAAAGCTAATCTTAACAAATGTCAAAATTTTAGTTTCACGTAAAAAAAAAAAAAAAAAAGATATTTGACATGCGCGGGTGTTTATAAAAAAAAAATTGCCTAAAGAGGTGTACATTCGAGACATATCCTTGTAACTTCTGCGAGCCCTCTGGCGGGCTGTCCAAACAGGAGACAAACAGCAAACAGAAATCGTGAGGCGACACCGTCAAAAGTCGTGGAATTTGAAGCGGTTGAAGTCCGGCAGTCCGATGTGTGTTTGAACAGCACCGAGCAAACATCACGATTTTACACCTCGCTTCCTCCGCTTTTCGGTGACCTCGGTGCTCGTCAAGCTTGACGTCACACGTCATTGGAAAGGGAAAGGCTGCCAACACAGCCTTTCCCTTTCCCGGTTTCGGGACCTGAGGAGCAGCGGAGACATTGAGGGATTGTCAAACAGCCAACAGGTCCTGTGAGTGGCTGCCCGGACCCACGTGATGAACATGTTCAATTCCCCCGTTAAAAACACAAACAAACTTAGACAAAAAAAAAAAAAAAAAAAAAAAAAACTTTATTCTAGAAAGGAGAAAAAAAAAAAAAAAACGGACGGAAGCGAAGTGCTACACGACTTATGTTGGAGTCGTGTCGCCTCACGATTTCTGAAGTGTCCAGGGTAAGCTCTCGAATTGTTTTCATTTGACCTCAAATTTGTACTTCGGATTGAGGCGCCAAGTACATACTAAACATTTTACACCCTTAAGGGTGTAAAAGTGGTGTCCCAGAGATTTACACCCAATGTAGCACCTTTTCAGCGCCCTAATTTTGACATAATACACTCTTTTCAAACATACAAGAGGGTGTAGTTGCATTGAACACCCTCCAATTTTTGAAGGGTGAAAAAAGGGTGTGGATATATATCTTTTTCAGATTGAGATCGCAAAATCGAAATACCTCAAGAGAGAAGCAGTGATGTGATTGGCCTAAGCCATTTTGGAGCACCTCTCGGAGCAGCCAAAAACAGTGTTTTGGAGCAGCAAATGTGGCCTTTCGGAACAACCAAAACAGTGTTTTGGAGCGGTAAATGTGGCCTTTGGAGCAACCACAACAGTGTTTTGGAGCAGTAAAAGTGGCCTTTGGAGCAACCAAAACAGTGTTTTGGAGCAGTAAATGTGGCCTTTGGAGCAACCAAGACAGTGTTTTGGAGCAGTAAATGTGGCCTTTGGAGCAACCAAAACAGTGTTTTGGGGCAGTAAATGTGGCCTTTGGAGCAACCAAAACAGTGTTTTGGAGCAGTAAATGTGGCCTTTCGGAACCAAAACAGTGTTTTGGAGCGGTAAATGTGGCCTTTGGAGCAACCACAACAGTGTTTTGGAGCAGCAAATGTGGCCTTTCGGAACAACCAAAACAGTGTTTTGGAGCAGTAAATGTGGCCTTTGGAGCAACCAAAACAGTGTTTTGGAGCAGCAAATGTGGCCTTTCGGAACAACCAAAACAGTGTTTTGGAGCGGTAAATGTGGCCTTTGGAGCAACCACAACAGTGTTTTGGAGCAGTAAAAGTGGCCTTTGGAGCAACCAAAACAGTGTTTTGGAGCAGTAAATGTGGCCTTTGGAGCAACCAAAACAGTGTTTTGGAGCAGTAAAAGTGGCCTTTGGAGCAACCAAAACAGTGTTTTGGAGCAGTAAATGTGGCCTTTGGAGCAACCAAAACAGTGTTTTGGAGCAGTAAATGTGGCCTTTGGAGCAACCAAAACAGTGTTTTGAAGCAGTAAAAGTGGCTTTTGGAGCAACCAAAACAGTGTTTTGGAGCAGTAAAAGTGGCCTTTGGAGCAACCAAAACAGTGTTTTGGAGCAGTAAATGTGGCCTTTGGAGCAACCAAAACAGTTTTGGAGCAGCAAATGTGGCCTTTGGAGCAACCAAAACAGTGTTTTGGAGCAGTAAATGTGGCCTTTGGAGCAACCAAAACAGTGTTTTGGAGCAGTAAAAGTGGCTTTTGGAGTAACCAAAACAGTGTTTTGGAGCAGTAAAAGTGGCCTTTGGAGCAACGAAAACAGTGTTTTGGAGCAGTAAATGTGGCCTTTGGAGCAACCAAAACAGTGTTTTGGAGCAGTAAAAGTGGCCTTTGGAGCAACCAAAACAGTGTTTATGAGCAGTAAATGTGGCCTTTGGAGCAGCCAAAACAGTGTTTTGGAGCAGTAAAAGTGGCTTTTGGAGCAGTAAAAGTGGCCTTTGGAGCAACCAAAACAGAGTTTTGGAGCAGTAAATGTGGCCTTTGGAGCAACCAAAACAGTTTTGGAGGAGTAAAAGTGGCCTTTGGAGCAACCAAAACAGTGTTTTGGAGCAGTAAATGTGGCCCTTGGAGCAACCAAAACAGTGTTTTGGAGCAGTAAATGTGGCCTCCGGGAGCAACCAAGACAGTGTTTTGGAGCAGTAAAAGTGGCCTTTGGAGCAACCAAAACAGTGTTTTGGAGCAGTAAATGTGGCTTTTGGAGCAACCAAAACAGTGTTTTGGAGCAGTAAAAGTGGCTTTTGGAGCAGATATTCTTATAAAAATAAAAATATTCGTTTTAAGTGCTGCACGAACGAAGGACACTGTGTTGTGTTGTGTTCCGATGTGAGGTGTTCTGACGGAACTTGCTGCTTGCTTTTTTACTGCTGGGACATCCCACAAGTCTACAGTGCTGTAGGCGTTACCGAGCAATGCCGAAAAACCGCTTGCCAGTTTTACTGGTTCCCGACGTGCCAGATTTTCGTCAAGAGTAAGCGAACGTAAAACAATGGATTGCAAGCGTCCGAGCTGGTGCCTCTGTCGTGCAATCCAGAGGCTCTGGTGCAATCATGTTCCCAAGCACGTGAGGGCACCTTCAGCAGGCTTGCAGTTGCGCGTGCTTCGTCGCGCGAGCGGAGGCAACGATTGTTTAATTGAAACCGAAATCATGTCCCTCCGCTCCGTCGCCAACTGCAGATTCCCAAAATTGTGCGCAAAATTTAACTACACAGCATACGACAATAAAACAGTCCAGCGGCGCGTGCTTGTCAGACCGGCAAAGTACAAGCTAAACACACACACAAATACACGCGAAAAAAAAAAAAAAAATCTGAGCGCAATGATGCCGATTATTGCAAGCCAAAGTAAAAAAAGGTATTGTAGCGCTTTGTGCAACGACTGAACTCGAGACATACAAGCGCGCTGTGCGGGTTCAGCGTGCAGACATTGCCTTCTTTGCTTTAGCTCACTTCTCTTCACCAACTTTCTTTCGCGGCAGATTTTTCCGTGCCGGGGTCCCTCTCGAAGGTAAGCCCACCGAGAGAAATCTACCTAGGTAATCAGTACTTCTACACAGCAGTTTTCGAACTAAAGAGGATTTTTGTAGTAACGTATAATTCAAACAAGAACATGGAATGTTGATGAACATGCGGTGGTAGCTAGTTTAATTTTAGAAAACGCCATATCCGCAGCGACGTCGCGCGACCACGGTGACTGGAAGGCAGGGACCAAATATAGTTTTCCGGCGGAAAAACCACGCACGACCGGATGGACAATTGATGCGGGGTACTTAATGTCGGGCGGCCGCTTGCGCCGCATAACACACGCATGCTATAGTTTAGTTTCAGTTCTGAATTCGCAAAATGTAGCAGGATGTAGCAGGGTTAGCCCCTTGGCGCAACAATCACATCATTGGAGGGGGAGGAAAGTAAAGGAGGAGGGGCGCCCTCCCCCCTCCTCCTCAGGAGCTGCGCTCTAATTCGGCATTACAGGGAGCTGTAAACGTCTTTCATTTTTGGCACCTCCGCTCTTCACCCCGGCGTAGCGGGTCGCGCATGCGCAGTTTCGCACCCTCAAAGCAGAGCGAAGAATGAAAACTGCCTACTAACTCTTTTCACTGCACCCGCTCTGAGAACTTTCATTTTGCCCGGCAAGAACCACTCAGAAGGCCGTTCCTAGCGGACGGAACCGGAATAGAGTAGCCTTACTCCGACAGGTCAGCCGTTTCTCCTAGCACGTCTTTGCAAAGCGGTCAAGCTCGACCAGCTCGCCGCTGGAACCAGTGAAGCGTGACATGAAAAGTCAGAGAATCCACCACACACGCATGCATGTGCACAGTCATCGTAAAAAGAAATACTTTGTGTATCACACTGTCCCCATCATATTAATTCTGGCCTCAACAGTACTCCTTTATTTCATCATATAAAAACAAGTAAGATAAAAAGGTCAGGCCGCCGGCGTAAGGTTGATGAGTGAATTGCTGTTTTCAAAAAGTTCACTGATCGAGACCCTTCCACGTTGACGAATAAAATGCGCCACATCTTCTAGCTCTTTTCTTGTTATGTAGATGAACTTGCCACGGTCGTCGATGACACCAACCAGAGTTTCGTCCACTAGGAGGGCTTGGACACGATCAATGCAGTCCTGCAAGAGACCAAAAGTCTTCCCATTAGGGCTAAGTCAGTCACATGTAAAAGCTACTTTTTAAGTGAAGCACAACCAGTAGATTTCACACATCCAAGTAAAAATAAAACAGATCAGACACAATGGTACTTTTGAAGCAAACCTGTCGACTGTGTTTATCCTGGTTCGACTGCATTGAGTGAAGTAGTCTGTTGCCTTGTTTATCCACACCCTCTACCGTGAATTCTTATACCTTGAGCTCTTTTACCTCATCACTGTTAAAAACTCCTATTTTTTATTTATCGGTATACTGAATTCCAGACCAGACTCCTTCCCTACCACAAATGTTCATTATGTCCTGCAAATCCCGCCTATTCTCGGCCGTCAGTACACAGCCATCTTCATACTGCAGTCCTGGTAGCGACTGCCCAGTCTTTTGTCCGTGCATGCACCAGGTGTCCCAAATAGGGGCCAGGTTCTTTAAATCGACCGCAAAATTCGGTTTCTTAACCTATCGCGCTACGATTTTGTGCAGCGTTGCCCACAAATGGTGCATTTTTTTTCTGTAAAATTTGGGAAGAGCGAACTTGTCTGAGGAAAATGTAAAGAAAGCAAAAGGCTTAACTCCCATGGAAACGCAGCCAAGCCACCGGTCTTCAAACAATACGGCGCCGTTTGGCACGGGAAACAAGAGATGGCACAAGCGGTCGTGACGCCAACTGCTGCCAACGAACGAGTATACGGGGCCAAGAGCCGGCGTCATTAGCAGACAATCTTTTCGACTCAAAATGATGGAAACAGGACTTCATTATAGTAGCAGACATGACCTAGCTGTTTCAGGCAGCGTGATCGGAAAGTGTCCAACAACACCGCACCTCTCCCGCGTACTGCTTGTTGATGCCACGGCCTCATTAAATCCCTCTGTTAATGGTTTATGCCAGATGACATTAACCAATTTTTGGAAATAGCGAGGAACCCACCTGCGTTTTCAGCTGGAATTTCGCAGCCAAATCCTCGAGAATGACCACTTTCTCCGTCTGAAACGACGCAATTCCCACCCCCAACAATAGGTAATGAGCCAAGTCTGCCAAGAAACCACTAGTGTCCGATATTAGGTCCACTCTTCATGAACAAAAACCCCTGTATTTGTTTTCCCAGAGAGCTCATAAAGAGCCAGTCATAGCCAATGATTCAAAATTTAGGGATTATAACTTGCATGTAATCGCGCAAATTAAAACTTTGCCATAGCTCCGCCCCCTGCTTCATGCCAAGTGCAGAAGAGGAAGGGAGTAAGGAGAAAAACTAGCAAAAGAGATATCATTGGTGGTGTCAGGTGACCCCTGCCTGCCTATCAGGTGGCTCGGAAAAACTGAGATTGCAACTCCTTCAACAGACTAAATGCAGCAGAGAGGTTTGCTGCATGCCCTCCGGCAATATTCTCCAAAACAGAAGCAGCTTAATCCAAATCTCACCAGCCAACACCCACCTTAATGTATTCTATGAACTCATGCAGCTTGTTCTGTGCCTGAAAGAAGAAAAAATATTGTCCAAGTTACATATATTTTCACAACAGCATCAGGGACAAGGTTAAAATAAAAATTTCATTGAGTTCAAACTAATAAAAGAATTCACTTATTCACTTCGTTAGGTGCCATTTCGCTTGCAGGACCTGACGTGGCATTCCCAATGCTTCCAATTCAGTATTTTGTGATGAGAAAAATGGCATGGCCTTAAACATTGCGTGCATGACTACTTAAACAATTTTCAAGATTGAAAAATTAAAAAAAACAAAAAACGGGGTGTTACAGTAAAGTACAATTCGGTTCTATTCAGTTTCCTTGGTCACCAATCTATATTTCAAAGTTAGAAGAAGCAATGAACAGGGCATAGAGCCCCACCTGAATTTTGAGGACAATTTGTCCCAAACACTGCAAGTATGCAGTGGACAAAAACTGCACTCGAATCATACACTCAGAAGTTCACGCGCCAGCAAAGTCAGGCTTGCAACAGCATGCATACTGTGCAACTGAGATGTTGCAGTGTGAGCACCGTTTGAGGTAATATGCTTGTGCTTTTAGCTTCGTTTGCACTTACCGTAGAATACCGTGCATCCGCCCATACCACATTAAGCGCACATACCCGAATTTGTAAGATCTGAGAAAATATGCACAGTACATTTATATGTAGAACTGATGACCGGACAAGCGCCCATCCCCCATTTTTTCATGATTATCTAAAAATTTTGAGCGGGCACTTGCCCGGTATTTTACGCTATGCAGATAAAACAATCAGTCACAACTCTGAAATTGGCAAAATATCAATATTTCACACTGCAATGCATACTGAAGGCAATAAAGTGTGCATTGTTTTGCAGATAAAACAAATACAACTGAAAATATACCCATATCCATAAATTGTCTCGAAAAATGTGTGATTCTACTTCCAATTTTGGTTACAAAAGTAATTTTTTTTACTCATTATATACCTATTGCCGCGCGCAGGACCGAGCAAGCAGCGCCCAGTTACCGTAGTTTAGAAGATTCGCGTTTATTCTCATTCGGGGCGTAACTCTTATCATTTCGCCCTAGTTTCATGTACTCGAAAGTTCCTGATCATTCTCACCCTGAACGCTCGATGTTCGAACCTTCTGGGTCAAATTTTTGTGATGCTGACGCGCACTAGATAGGGAGCTGCTTGCGATCTTGTCGAGTTAGTCTCGCTCTCGCTTTCTGTTACATTGCCAAGTCGCCGCCCGCTTCTCTGCTGTCTTGAAGCTCATTCTTTATTAATGCGAAAGCATTAACTGTCTCATGGAACGAGCTGACATCATCAGTTTGAAGCGCGAAAACGGCACCTAGTTTCCTTCAATTCCATAGGCTGGCGCGCGTCGACGGGGCTCCCATTGGCCGCTGCGCTCGTCAGTTTTCACGACCGCTCACCCCATGGCATTGGCGAGTCTTAAACACAAACTTTGGCCTTCTTTTGAATTCAATCGGGACTGGCGAGTCTGAACGAAACAAGTTTTAGGTGAAACAAAGGAAGGGCTTGCCTGCTCCTGGGTGGCCGCATCAAAACCCTCTCCCTCGACCGAGAAGGCCTCCTTCATGCGCAAGTACTCCTCCAGCTCACGCTGCTCCTGCTCCTTCTTCAGGCGCTCTTCCTCTGCCGCCTGAAGCAATCAAACAATCACAACAAAAATAAATAAAAAAAAAACATTGCAGAGCAGAAGTATAATAATAATAATAGTAATAATAATAATAATAACAACCGTGCTTCAGTTTTTCTATAGTGACCACAAACAGCTGTAAAGCATTTTGTGCAGCACACAGTAGTCTTTTTCAGGCTAAAGAAAACAGATTTAAAAACAGATATACAAAAATGCAAAAAAAATTTCAGAAATACAAGGACTAAATAAGATATATCGCAAAATCCCAACAGACGGCCCACCCCCATGTTTTGCTTGATTTGCTTTTTTTTTTCTTCTGAACACGAAAGTTAGTGTATTTTTTTTAGTAATAGTAGCGCTGGAATCAATGATGGCCTCGGCATAAATGCAGCTAGTTAGCTATGGCGCGATATAACCAATCATTGATGACTGGGACGCAGACATCTTTGCTTCGTTGCCTGTCACCACGATAACAAGATTTGAAGGAAAGCATGACCTAAAAATATAGTATTTTCAACTTTTCTTGATTGTACACCGAAAGTTAGCCCAATCCACATTTTCACCCAATTTGCTCTTGATTTTAGGTGGGCTATCTCTTGGGATTTTACGGTAGTATATGTGTGTAGAATACACATACACATGGTACACAATACACATAATATACAAGGTGTACAACATAAAATACGAGTACAATATTCAACAGATATAAAACAATGCAAACATGCAATAATTAAAATGAGGAAAGACGACGACTCCAGCGCACCTGATATACATTGTTGCAGGGTTGCCTTGAACAGATCAAGACATTGAAAAATATCCAAGTCACAATTTTCAATGTAGTTGTAAGCTGTCTGCAATCTAGATAATGGTGGCTATACAAATTTTGTGAGAATAAAATACAAGAAAATAGAGACAAGGCTATAGTGGGCACACAAAGTTCAACCTCAAGTAATATTTCCGGTTCTACAACTCCTTGCACTACCTTGTGTAGAAAAATCGGGTCTTTGAAAACTCTGTGCTTTTAAATTTTCCAGTCTAAATGTACTTAACAAATTCACACTTGAATAACTGTCTAACCAATGCATCTGTCATTAAGTATTCTCATGACAAAAATCAAGGGAGTGGGTTTGCAATGAGATTGTTACACCAAGGGTAGGATATTACCCTCAGGACTAGACCCTCCCCACAGTTGGCTCAAGTACCATGTTAAAGATGCACTCAAGTGTTTTTTGTAGAAGGTTGTTTTTGATGGCATATTGTTTGCTGGGCTTTAGTCAATAAAAATGACCAGTTCTAGATGGCAAGACATGCTAGTAAACTCACATCAATAGAAATACGTGTGCACAAGGAGGTGGGGGCATTCCTCAGTTCGCCACCACCTCCATAAAATTTGACCGATGAAAATAGGTCATTGCATGAAAGTTCCAAACTTTACTTCTTAGGCACGTTGTGCATTATATTTTGAGAAAAACGTAAAATCTTTGGCCGTAGGAGACTTAATACAGCAATTTTTGTTCGAAAACACCGCCTGACTATGCCACCTGACTGCACCCTCTGGTGCTCCAAAGCGCAGAAAGAGGGGAGTGTCACAATCTTTGATTAGATTTTTAACAGGGAAATCGGCCACCCATGAGTGTAATTTTGGGATTTTTTAGAACACTTAGAGCCCACAGGTTGAGTTATATCCATAAATAGACAATTTCAAAATCCACTTGAGTGCCCCTTCAGTGCAAACCTATTGCTGATAGATGGGCATTCACTGGGAAACAGCGATAAGCATTCACCATTTGTGAGATCCTAACGTGCGGGTATACATTGCACTTCGTTTACAACTACAGTCGCCGACCCATTTTTTGGATGCTGATTTTTCGGACAGGTCTGATTATTCATACGTTTTTGCCAAACCGTCACTCACCCCATAGACAATTTCGGACACCATAAAGCCTATTGCTCCATATTTGGGGAGAAAATTTGTGTGATTTATTTAATTTACAGCCACAAAACAGCTGCTGCAAGCTTAGTCACCGTCATTTTGGTTGTTTTGATTTTGCCCTGTAGTCTCGATAACACGTCCTACGCAATAAACAAGCTGGGTTGAGGCTATAGTCGGGTTTTCCGGCTCCACTAGAGCCAACATGGTTGCCGTCTGTCCATTCTTATGCCTCTTTCAGTTTTTCGAGTGCAACCGCGAGAAAAGTGGCTGTCTGCCATTCCTGTGGTGTTTGAGCATGAAGGTTTTTTGCCGATAGGCTATTGGAGCGAGCTTGGTGGACTAATGTTGCCTATAAATAGTGCCAAATGGCACCAACTTCAACTTCGCTGTTTGTGCCAACGAAGGGGCCAACAAAGTGCAGCACCGTAATCAAACAGATCAACAAACATGTGAAAAGTGAACACTATAAAGCGGAAGTTGAACGAGAACTTAAAATTGACATCAAGCAAGTGGAAAGTGGCCAATACGCAGCAGAATATCCGCGAAAATTTGACATTTTGGCTGAAATAAATTTTTCAGAATTTGAACAATTTCAAGGTCCCCTCCAAGTCCGAAAAATCGGTCGGCGACTGTACATGTGAAGTGCAAATAAGATCTTGTTATACATAATGGTTGATTTTTTTCCTTTTATTTACTGTTCTACCTTTTTATTTTTGTGAAATGGGCTTTTTCATAATAAAGGCGCCCATTATAGACCGACAACGCAGGCTTGACGTTACGGAGCTGCGGCGGCGCTGCGATCACGCCGGAGCTGGGCAGTGTGGGCAAAGGGCGTGCGTTTTGCATGGGCGTCATAGCATTTCAGCATGCCGCAAAGCTGTGTTGCCATTAACTGCACCGAAAGGTACAAAAAAAGTAGCGGAGTGAGTTTCCACAAGTTCCCGGCAGACTCTGAAAGGCACAAAAGGTGGATAATATCCGTGGATTGAAAAGAATGGTCGCCTCGCGCGAACGACCGTTTGTGCGGCAAGGACTTTCTTGAAGGCAAGTGCGGCTTCCATTTCAATCTCTGTCCCGAGGCTTGGCTATGTGCAGGGATCGAGACCACCCGGATTTTGTTCCCACGGTGTTCGCGCAAAAAGCACCGGCCAAGAGCTCGTGGGAGGCTCACTACGCCCGTGCTATTAAGCAGAAGGGGATCGGTGACAGAACGGCAGTGTTGTAGGCGTTACAAAAAAAAAAGTAACGAAATACGTTACTCGTTACTTGAAAATAAAAGGTACGCATTATCAAGCTACGTTACCTAAAAATATAACGAACGCATTACTGCTACCGATTAAAAGTAAAGCACGTTACTTCTGCGTTACTTTTTAATTCACGATTTAACACGTTTTACTGTTTTGACGATACGGGTGTGCAAAAGCTCATATATCAAGAAACATTATGGTCATGCAGAAACTGAACATAATTACTTTATCTTTTTTTACGGTTTCACCTAGATACTCACGAGAAAAAACTCGAAGAAAAACGCAGAAAACTCAGAAATTCAGATGTCTTGACGCCCCAAAACACGGAAAAAAATTGAAGTGTAATTTCTTTAAGACTTGGGAAGTAGTAATAACTATTTCATGTAATGACGTTACCCCTTTCATTACCGCCAAGACTGCAGAATGGACAAAGCGTTACTGCTTGTCATGCCTTGTGGTCATGAGGGTAGGTAAAATATCATACCTTGACTTGAAGACGCTGTGTGTATTTAATCAATTAATAAATACACTTCCGCAGACCCACAATCTGCTGGTCCCGCCGGCAGTGGGGAAACCGACTCGAAGTAACCATAGGCCTCGAGAGACTTGTACGCCTGCACCGTGTCAGCCATGAACTGGCTTGGCAAAAAAAACTAAATAAACGACGACGTGAGCCATCGACTTTGGTGGCAGCAACTTCACATCGGAAGTCAAGCAGGCCTTGTTTGCGGCGTTAGGATCGTCGAAGGCAACGCCATCCACCCCGTCCACGCACAGTTTGTCTCGATACCGCTGCCGTTCAGGCTCGGGTAGCGAGCTCAAATAGCCAGGCATAGCATACGACATACATTGTCAGGAAATACGACGCACAACTAAAGCTAGGAGCATCCCTACAACGTCAACAACGAGCGCACGCCATACAACGCAATGGCGAAAACACGGAGATCCGGGCCGCTTTAGCCCACATAGCTTCCGCGCATGCGCGGCCTTCTGGCCGTGTTGGTAAACAGAGCTGCTCTGCGTGTCAGTCCATAAAAGTGCTTGACTATCTGGCCGCCGCCTGTTTTGAAACGAAACACTCAAGCTCCTAGAGTCTAAGCTCATTACAACAGACCTGGTGACAACAGATACTTGGATATAACATACCGATTTGTGAAGTTCAGTTGGTTTTTCTGTACATATCATTGACTGAACTTCATATCTGCCATACAACATACTCCTCTTACAGCAGACCGAAATCCTGATCAAAATCAAGGTTTGTTATAACGAGCTTAGGCTGTATTGGTATTCTGCTACTGCAGTCACTTGGAACAATCATCTTGGCTGCCAAAAAGGTGCCCTCATGGGGCATGGTTGCCCACCCGCTCTGCTTCCTCTTCTTTCCTCTTCTGCTCGTCCAGTTGCTTGCGCGCCTCCTCCGCGGCTTGCCGCTGTTTCATCTCCTCGCGGTCTTCCAGGTCTCTCTGCAACAGGGTGCGAGGAGGTCACAACAACTCAACCGCACCGCCACTGAATGGAATAGTCACACTGCTGCCTCTCAGCAAACGCTGCACAACTGCAAACTATTTTTCTGTTGAAGTATAAAAACAGTCGAGACAAACAAACAGCTGGTGCCTCAGAGAAAAAGCATACAGTGTTTCTGTTTACCTCAAAAACAAACTGCAGATCGCCAAACAATCATTTTCTACCCAAATGAAGTGCTAACAGTTCAAACCAGATGCAAAAAAATTCAAAGCTTGTCATTTTCCAATTAAAAAAGTTATGAGATTTTCGAAAATTTCCAATGAGAGAATGATGATTGACAAAGCCCATGCATACATGCACACATTCATAGGCATTAACTATTAGAGTCTAAACTGACTGAAACAGTCAGCAAAAAGGCAATAGGCTTTACAATAGTCATTGATAATTTTTTGCTTCTTTTGTCACCAGACTCCAAAACTAGACGCAGAAGGAACACAGCTATCCCCGCCCACAATGAAGCATGAAAGGATGACGTATGTGTGACATCATCCCATCATCATTGCAGCAATGTGTCATTGGTGAGAGTAAAGACACCATGCCACCGACTTAATGGCAATCACTTTTACACACAACCATATTGGGCAGGGCTTGTAGCACTGTAATTAGATTGAATTGCAAATCCAGACGACAAACGCGGGACAATTGACCGATGCCTATCCCAAAGCATGTGGCCATTTTGCAAGCTGTTCCAATTAGCCTAGACTCGAATAATGTCGGCCTTCAAAACTGTGATTGCACATATGTGTGATTAACAAGTTAATCGGCACACTTCGGTTAATTAGCCTACTAATTGTGACGGGTATTTCCCCTCAGAAAGTGCCCACCAGGCTCAGTAGACACACTATGAAGTCGGCATCCACAAAACGGGCACCATCTTCTTTAAAAAAAAACATCTATAATTAAAAAGGATATATATATATATATATATATGTATGCATATATCACCTTGTTTATATCCAATAGCAATAAAAGTTGTACCATATTTTCTGGACGATAGTCCATGGACTATTCGCCTCGAGATCGAACCGTGCCGCCACCGTGCGGCCAAAATTGGAAACGCGCGAAAGCGGGGATACCACCGTGCGTCGTCTGCTACGGGCGCACGCTCAGAAGCATGGAATCTCGACGACGCAAGCCCGTTTCAGGCTGAGCTTGACATTCCTTATTAAATGTTTTATGTTTTTGTTGCCGTTTCTTCTTACTAAAGGTTTTGTTGTATCGTTTGCCATGCATATAAATTCAGCAAAGCGATTATTATTAACTCGGAAGCTTCCATAATCTTAGTGTGTTGGTCCCACATATTTTTGTCATCTTGCACAAACCGTGGCTTTCGTAAAGCATTGAATGTTGAGTGGGTCTGTGGTTTGATTAGAAAATTAACCCGACTGATCGCTATCATTCAATAGGCTAATCAATCAATAAATCCGTACGTTGATTTTTCCCCGGTCATATTGCGTGAAAGACGTTAGAACTGCACATTTTTTTACTGGTTTTACTATGTCATAAATGGCATATTGCATTCCCGTTCTAAACTTCATGTTGTGAGTCCTACATCAATATGAACACGGGAAGCCATTTAAAATGAAGTTTTTTTTAAAGTTATTACTTAAACAGTATAATCACCCTCGGCGAAATGACAAGCACGCTGAAGTGGTTTACCGAGCAAGCCTGTGTCACAAAAGAAGTAAAGTCGTCAAAAATATTAAAGCAGGCATATTTTACTCCTTGTTGACTTCCTCCAGCACAAGACTCCAATTAACCGGCAAAAAAAAATTTGCAATTAAAGCATTACTTTTACGGCATTATCGAGACTGGGCAGTTCATCGACTAACTAAAGTTAATCGATGAACTGCCCAGTCCCGATATATGTTAGGTGAGGGTGGAGGGTGATCGGAAAGTCTCGTGAAGGTCGCTAGCCCTCATCAGTAAAAGAGTATCACTCCGGCCGATACTATCTGTGTCGTGGTGCGCGTCGTTTGTTTGGGTTGCAAAGTCTACCCTGTATGAATACAAGATTATTTAGCCAGAAATTTATAGTATTAGCATCTTGAAATCCGCGGCAATCACCAAAAAAATTGAAGCGGGTGAACCCACACTACCGAGAAAAGCATTTAATAATAGGAACATTGTTGCATTGCTCGGTTATACACTCGTTTATTACAGTTACGGAAGATATATTAGAACAGTTTGTTCCACTTGTTTCAGTTGTCCTGCCAACCGTGCAGTTTGCAGATCTTAACTAGAAGAGGCACTCTCTCCTCATCGCAATGCATTAGATTTGTTCAGACTCCAAAAAATTTACCCACACTATGGCACAGTAAAAGGACAGAGGAACTCAACAGCATGGTAATTTCCAATACAGCGCTAACTTATTTTCATTCTAAATATTTATATTACTGCAAAAGCTAGACGTTAAAAAAAACAAAAAAACATAGAAGCTGCGATTTCACAGCCCACAGTACCAGTATTATGTTATCTAGGTTGGAATTTATTATTTTTTTAATTCCTGCACTGATGGGCCGATACAGCCATTTTAAAAGAAACAAATATTTAACATAAATATTCCAGTTCAGCCGGAAACAGGCATCAGTCGTGGTGATCCATGCTTTCCAACGTCTGCCTAGAGCAGACCGCGCACCCACAGAAGCGATTATATATATTTGGGCCGCACGCTGACAACACGATTCAATCTTCACTGAAGCACCGAACAGTACTGCATCCATTTCCGCTAGAATTGTTTTCCCACCGACAGTATGCGACAAAATAAACGCAAGAATCTACGCCGTCTCGCGCGCGACCGTGGAGAGCCTATGGGGCGGCCGTTCTCCTATCCCCACTTTTGATGATGATGATAGCGCGACCATAGCGCCACCTCTAGGTCGATCTTGAGGTCAATACATGTTTAAAAGTCTAAACTTCACTCGATGCAAACTATTAATTGTCTTAAAAAAAGATTGTTTAGCAAGACGAGACGTGACAAATCGTGACAGATTATGTTAATAGGGATATTGGTTGGTACAAGCTTTCAGGCATTTTTCAAGGTGTGGTGTGTATGAGAACTTTTTTTTATATACAGATTGCACCAGGTGCAGACTATCCAAGAAAAATAACTCTTTTTCTGCTAGTTTTCCCCGTGGACTCGTGCACTGGGTGCGAACTATAGTCTGGAAAATATGGTAATTTGTCTGAGTTGATATAAAGGTATTTGTCAGTAAATCCCATCCTAACAGACAAGTAGCTCACTTCTCTCTGTAGCCTCTTCTCAGCCTTCATTTCAAGCTTCTTGCGCTTCTTGGCCCCAATTTTTCCTTCAGGCATGGCGATGAGGTCTTCCAGAGCCTGCTCTTCCTCGTCCTCATCTGGGAAGGACACACAGTTGCAGACGTCAACCAAAAGAGGGCGCAATGCACCACCTTCCACGAAGAAGGCTCGAGAATGTTAATCCAGTGTAACGGCACACAGGACGTCTGGTTCCGAAGCAAGCAACTCACTCTAAACGACACAAACAACTGTAGATTCGATTCTTACGTCGCATGTGCTGCTGTCCAGATTACGTCTGTAGCCCAAAGAGCCCGAACACTTCATGCTGTACAGGATCACTCCTAGGGAATTTTTATGGTGCACGTGACGCCTATGTACATCTTTATTAAGTTGCATATTACTTGAGGTGAACAACGAGAAATCGACACTTAAAATTTTATATGGCAGGCTTCCCAAAATAAAAGATGTTTGATGACTGACAAAATCTCTGGCACAGTATAAAGCATGAGGCGAGAGGTCTTGCTCATCTCTCATGCATTGGACAGTGTGACTATGGCCCTATGACTAGAGCCTGTATCACACATTTAACATAGAGTGCACACCGTACCAACGTTTACGAAATCACAGCCAAGTATGCACATGTTCGTCGCTTTGAAAAGTGAACAATTACATGTGTCATAAACAGAAATGCCGAAAATGGCACCTGCCATTTTCGGTATTTGTTCCTGGAATATCCTACATGCAGTTGCGGTGTTGACTCAAACAATGCTGTCCGCCTATGGGGGTTTCCATTGGCAGCTATAGGTTTGCCCATGGCTGCTGGGTGCCTGCCAATGGCGAGTTTCCACAGAGCATTTGCAATGTGCATTCCACAGCACCAAAGACTGCCAGTCTTGTCAGCCTAAAGTGTGAGCTCATTCCGAGCATGCCCAGTGAATGGCGCTCTTAATAAGGTGCCCAGTGGATGCACCCTACGCACCGAGGGCTCACTTTAGTTCACAATTAGTCACTGCATATCGCGAGGATAGTCAGGTGATTCGTTCCCCTCGGTCCCGTCAACCAACGCATCCAGAGATGAGCCCAAACTGCTTGTCAAGCAGTTCCAAGTACCGCTAACTATTTTGGGAAAGTGTACATTTGATGCCAAGTAGCTGGGTAGCTGGGCAGTTTTGATAGCAACTTCACGGCACAAGCGTGTCCTACCAGGCACGGCCAACACCACCTAGGACAATCTAATTTTGACGTCGTCACGGCAAAATCAAGCACTGACACAAATGGGACACGAGCGCTGCTGTAGCGTTCGGCTGCGCCGCGTGTCCGGTCGGAGCATCGAAGGACGCTTGGCATTCGAACCGGACCCGATTGTTGAGTTGGCGCCATCTGATGCTCGATTTCACCTACAATGAACCGCAGTTGATGCTATGAGCCATCTAAGCAAATACAATGCCACGTGAGCATCTTGCGACCTTCGGTGCGGGCACAGCGGCACATGGTTGCACGATGCTTTACAGCGTTAGATCGACCGCCATGGCTCGTAGCGTCTGCCGCGGTCCAAACTGTAAGGTGAACCTGAGCATAGGATGATAACCTGCCACGGAGGTAGAGAAGGCTTTTCGCAAGCCTTGGTTCTAAGAGGTGTTGGTGTGGCAAGCCCGGGGAACGTCGACCAGCTCACCGCTGTCTTGCTGGCGACCAGCGCCCATCCGGTTGCGGACATTGCGCCTGGGTCGTCGGACACCTGCCGGTCCTCCCTCAGCCCGGTTGATGGGCACCGCCCGGGGCTGCGCTGCGGGCTTGTCGTCTGCAATGGGGCACCACAACGACGCTGGACACTCGGCCCGCAAAAATGCATCGCCCAAGCGCAACAGCCGCAACGACCGGCAGTGCGACGCAGGGTGCTCTGTAGCCCCGCCCCCAAAAGTGGAGGCGGATCCCCCTATCAACTGCAACGGAACGTTGCAGCAGATAGGGAGATCCGCTACATGGCTCGCACGTGATGTCAATGCGTCATGTTGGCCGTTGTTCCTACTTGTTCCAGTCGAGAAAACACGAATTCGGTGGTTCTAAATGTAGGCTGCAGAAGGTACGCGCTCACCAGCGAAGCCACCACAATGGCAGCTGATGCGACGTCTGTGCAAGCCGTGTATAGATGTTTGCAAGCAGCCGCGCTTTGAGAGCTGGTTTGGCCACCAGGGATGGAAAACGCTTTGTTTGAGCGCCAGTCTAAAAACTGTGGGTATGCCTAGGCAAGCTTGACTATTAGACGATCTACACACACCAGCAGTAAGATGGCGGCACCCAGAGGCCGTACTTGCAAACGTCTATAAGAACCTGCTCAAACAACCACTACAGTTTTGAAGAAGGTTCAGCTTCCACAAACACAACGAGAATCAAAGACCGAGGGAACTCCCTATACTCCGTTTCACATCACAATGGACCGCAGACAACACTACGTGCCATTCCAGCCAACCCAGTATCGCGTAAGTGACACATAACTTACGAGAGGGGCACAACGATCCGTAGTCACATGACATGTACACAACGCTGGATTGGCTAAGATGGATGATGGTAGTAGACCTTGAGACCTTGCGACCAGTGGCGTAGGGGAGGGGGTCCAGCCTTCCCCTTGAAATATAGCCAACCCTATAATATAAACATGCATTTTGAGCCCCCCCCCCCCCCCCCCCCCCCTTCCCCCCTCAAGTCCAGCCACCTCAGCCTCCCACCCCCGCCAAAAATATTCTTGGCTACGGCACTGTCTGGGACGAAAAGATGTTAAAGCAGAGAGAGAGTGGAAAAAAAGAAAGTAATTGAGATTTTCCCTTTTTTGTCTGTTTCTGTTACTGTATTAATTCATTTCCACCCCACTGTCAGGGTCTACGATCACATGCAATCTACACCAGCTTGCCCGCATTTTAAGCATTTCTTTCGTTTCCAAGGTACTTTCGCCTGGATGGCAGCCAGTGTGTGGATTGCGACGCATCCGCCGAGTAGCCTGACACGGCAAGATACGGGGGAATCGTTCCCTTCGCGAGGCGCCCCACGCACCGAGCGGCAGTGGACAGGCGAGCCGGTGCCAACGGAGGCTGTCCCGCCAGGAGTTTATCTACGCCTGCCGCGAAGACGTCCGAATAACATGCTCCCAAGCAGTACTATTGAGCGGAAGTTAGTGTTTAACGTGCATCGTACCGGCGTATACTAGCGCACGCCGGTACGATGCTCGCTCAAACCGAAACGGGCAGTGGTGGGGATCGAATCCAGTGTCACCGGAAAGCAAACGCTCACCTGAGGCACGTCCCCTCCAAACGAGGAGGGCGATGAGTACGATAGTCATTATGGATATAGCACCGGTTAATAACATCACGAGGTCGGACATTTTGTACAGAGGTGTGGAACACCGTTCAGATAGTTCAGATAAACAATCGTAAAGGCCAGAGCACTGTGGGCCAGAGATCCTACAATGGATGAAAACATATGTTGCATATTAGATGAGAGAGAGACACCGAAAGTCGCCAACTCGAAGCCAAGTGCCAAGTCGCCAAGTTGGCCAAGTCAAGTTGCCAAATCTGCGAAGCGCTCAAACAACGGCTCAAACCAAGTGATGGCAAAATTAGTAAAAATGTAAAGCAAAGCTTACCTCCCGTAAAATTACTCGATTTCGGACAATATATGTTGTACAATAAAAGGTCTGATATAAAAACAAGTTTAATTAAAAAAAAAAAAAAAAGTTACCTGACTGTGGCATAGACGGCGCTAACAAAGCAACCGCCATTTAATTGGTTTCGGTTTCCATCGCTGCGGATGCAGCGATAAACCTTCTATTCGTGCGTGACGTTAACGCAAACGTGAAGAGGGCTCCCAATTTTTTCTTATTTTTAGTTGTTACTAGAGACGCAGCTTTTGACAAAAACAATTGATAACAGCGCGAAGAAACATGCGGACGTTATCGCACGCCGTGAAGCCATTTTTAACTATTGAACTGGTACCTAACCTTTTCATGAGGTTGTACCAAATTGTTCCTGAAATCTTTTTCTTCTTTTATGCACGTTGTAGTCTCGGCTTGCGTTTTTCTTGATGCGCATGCAGCTCGATGCATGCGGACGAGATTTATCGAGGCAAAAAGATTACAGTTTTAATAATCTAAGCCACCAACCATAATTGAAGATGTGTATAGTTGACAGTGACCAGAAAAGAAAAAACTGAAACCACCACAGAGCCCTCATTTTAATGTCATATATATAAAAAAAAAAAAAAACCTTGGAAAGCCATTGCTTTGCGGCGATTGATCTAACGTCGGTAAACCAGGTTGGTAAAAAAAAAAAAAAAAAAAAAAAAAAACAGAACAGACACGGACGACGTGTCTGTTTGCTTAACTCACAGAGACGGGATTTTCCTGTCTTTTTTGACGAGCGCCACTTCGACGAAACTCCAATGTCGGCGGTGGCGAAAACTTACGTTGTGGACGGCAAGTGGAGACGAGCGGTGCCAACTTCATTTCACAATCTCCATTTCTTTTCTTTTTTGTCGCAGCCGAGGTAAAAATTTTCTTTAGTACAAAGAAGCTCGGGGAGTAGTTTTGAGAAAATTAATGGAGTTATTCTGCCAGGGCTCAACAAATCTTCATAAATAGCGCAATATCCGTCAACTGTGCTTGAGGTCAATGCTATCTGAAACCAATTTGAGCTCTTTGCAACTCCAGAAAAATATTGCCCAAAGCATAACTAAAAAAAAAAAAAAAAAAAAAAAAAGACACAGAACTTAAAAAAAAAAAAAGACTTTCGCCAGTAACATAAAAAAAAAAAAAAATTAACTTCGAGTCGCATGTATTGGGGTGGAGTAGTCTACCGCTAAACAGCACGACTTCATGCGTATTCGCATCTAAAAAATAATTGAAAGTATCCTCAGAGATGAAAGGCACGGTGGACGAGTACTTTCTCCACGTTGGGTGATCGGAAGTAAGAAAACAATAAAGTTTCCGTATCGCACTTTGTGGCAGAGCGTCCATGTTCTGGAAATACGAGCGTTTCGCCGCAGTAAGGTTGCAACGCCTATTGGCTGAGAGAAAAAAGCAAAAACAAGCAAAACAACACAAATCGGAAGTGACGTAAGTTTTTGTTTTGTTTCTTTTTTAATTTTATTTTTTGTGCGCGTACGTATATTTCTGTTTGTTTTTACTTTTGGTTCCTCCCAGAGGGTTCCTCCAAGTGTTTGTTGGGCGCCTTTTCGGAGCGGTCGCGTCGGTTCCAACGGTCTTTCTTGTTTTATACGTTGTCGTGTTATGTGCCGCGGTATTGCTAAGTGGAGTTGGTCGTGATATTCAATGCTTGGGAACGAGCGTCGGCAGTGAAGTGAAGTCCACAGTGTCCACAGCGCATTCATGCAAGCTAGCGGGCCCCGTCTCGCCACATCGATGCCCGTGGGACGCTTGTTCGGAACGTAAAAGGTGAGTGGAATTTACCTACTGGTGGCGGCGTTCGATCGTCGATTCGGCACCGCTGTGGTGGAATTTGATAGCGCTTGGCTACCTCACGTAGCGTCGGGGACAAAGAAGAAGATAATAGAGATAATCAACGGGAGTGGCATGTGACTCCTGGGTGCCTCCTGCGCCGCATTTGCATTCAGTAATCGCACTTAAAGAAGGACCAAGCGCGTTGGGAATGTCGGCTTTTGACAAGCTCGTGCAGTCACAAAAGCGTTCTGTCGAAAGACGGGATTTACAAACAGATCAGGCTTCGCGAATGGCCCTCCCGGCGCGTCGAATTTGTGGCGGGTAATAATGTTACTGTTCATCCTGGTAGGCCTGCGATGGTGTTTTCTGCAGAAATGCTGTATTCTGCCTCGTGGTACATTCACACCTGCAGCAGAACTGCTACGCGATTCTGCTACAGGTTAATCGCGAAGAGTTGTGCTCTTCCATAATGTGCATGTTAAAGTGACAACAAATAAGTGACTCTCTGTTCTACTTCTCCTTTGGTATTCAACTGGTCGTATTTTCTACTACATTTTGTTCACAAAGCCACTGCGAGACAGGCATTATTGATGTATACTATCCAAAATAATGCTTGAGCATGAGACGAGGTAACAGAAATACTTCTATATGTGCATGCTTTTTGTGTTTTTGCAAGACAAGGTAGCAGAAATACTTTTTTAGGTGCCTGCTTTTTATGTTTCTGCAATTCACCGGCTAGACCACTCTTCTCATGGTTATTGTTTTGTTGGGTGCAAAATTTTCCACCCCAGGTGTCCGATGCTTGCGGCTGATGGCTTCTACCTATGTGCATCAAACAGCGGGCCTGCACCTTCGCCGAGACAGCAGTAAAACAGTTCTGGGTAACTGCAGCGACTGGGTCACCGATGCCGTTCCACTTCCTGCACTGCACTCCGCGTGGGTCAAAGGGCCAGCGCATGCCTTTTATGGGTTGTCGCCAGCCATAGTGAGTATGGCTTGGAGTCACGTCATGGTAGTGAAATGCTTGTCACCTGAGTGACGTCAGGGGGGGGGGGGGGGGGGGCCGCCGCTGCCGCCGCCGCCGCCGCCGTTGGTGGGGCTATGACCCAATGGTCTGCGATCACAGACCGCCAAGCACCATTGCACTGTTCCTGGATGAACTAGCCGCTCTTGAGGAAGAACAGGGTGCTTTGGGAAGAGATATGGTGTCCGCTTTTTCACTAGCTCCAGCTATCGCCACAGACATTTTGTCGAAAGGAGCAACATAGACGCCGCTGAATGGCCGCAAGGGGCCTCGCTTCTGACCGAGGGGGTCAAGATAGTCCCGTTTCAACAGAGGTACCTCTAGGGGTATTGTACAACACAGGAAATAAAGGGCCCGAAAGTTTTCTACCTCGACGAGGTGTGGGTTATGGCAGGACCAATTTTCTCAAAGGTTCGAGTAGACAAAAATGCGGCTTTGTTCCGTGGACACCTTCATGTGTGGTGGCACGAGGCAGTCATTGCTTAACCTTGCTTAAAGATCAACGACTGGACTGGTCAGGGGTGGCGTGCCTGAGAGTGGGACAGTAGACGACTGTTATATACCAACTTTATACTTCATTCACCCCTTAACTGACAGGGCACTGGAGGCTACATGCTCGGTGAGCCAGCCGATTGTCAGTCTTGCATCACTTATCATGCCCCTTTCTCATACACATGTGCAGATCGGACATGGGGCAATAAAAGTTTGGCCCACCAACCACATGGCTCCTTCCGCCCCGTCAGCGTAGGGGTGAACGGAGCGTAGGTGCGGCAGGGTTGGTGGAGTCTGCTGAGTGCTTCTGGCGTAGCAGCTCGGCAGTGGTGAGTTACTAGAGCACAAAATGCAATACCGCACTTTACTCTGAATGGTGCGAGCCATCGGAGCCAATCCAGTGCCGAAGGTGTGTCACGTGGCCTGTCCGTTGGGCGCAACGGCACGTTGAGCACAGTGTCATCTGGCAGCGACAAAGAGTTGGACTGGTTCCGGTGGCTCGTATCGTCAGCTGCGGTACAACACAAGGGGAAACGGAGTAGAATGTGATGGCATGTCGCATCACAGAAGGTGAGCAAAGTAAACAGATAAAAGTTTTATTTTTAGAGTGCCTATTTTAGGTTTTTGTTGCCTCTTTCGGTGTCCTTAAGAGCCCAAAGGCCTGCCTATCTCGACATTTGTAGTCCCTATCCTGGGCCCGCCACCAAGTTCACACCCATCCAAAACAGCATGAAACTGGCAAACAATATTCTAACCCTAAAATTAACTTGGGCTGTTTGCACAGAAGGAGCACGCTTCAGAGAAAGCGTCGTGTGGGCATCCTTTTGTTCCGTAAGGCGTGCCTAGCCTTCAAATTTCTTGCGTTTGCTCTGATCAAGCTTTTGCGCAAACAGTTTTTTTCCAGTGTATCGTTCAACAAAAAGTTACAGCTGTTTTGTACTGAGCTGGTTACAACTAATGCCATCTGTAGATATCTCTTACAGCCGAGCTGTTTGAAGTCATGAAAGATATAAACTACACGTTGCAGCGACTCACAATCGCATTCCTGCCCGTCATGCCGAACAGCGGAGCGCTAATTTCAGTTTGAGGTGTGCACTCTTACTACAATGCAGATGGTGACAGCATCAGGCTGCACTCGGTAAGTTAGTTTGAGACCGGTTCTTCGTGCGGCACTCTGGGAGATGACTCGCATAATGCCAGTGCGTTTGAAACGAGCTTGCTATAAGGCCCGCTACTCATGGGATAAGTTTCTCATATAGTTTTTGGGCAGCTGATGTGTTATTCCCTTCTCCACAGCAACACGCATTGCTGGGTTAGGGTACGACTTGAAACCGACGAGCAGCTCCGACAACTCTAAGGTGTTTGAAGCGGCAGGAGCAGTTTAGGGACACAATATTTCCCCGTGACCTCCCTTGCAGTAATGATGATGGTGCGTTCAGTTGCGGCTCCCTCAGCTCCGAACGGAGTAACTCGAGTTGGAGTTCTCGGTGCACCTACTGAATGTCAAAACAAGCGCAGCTCTTCAGCCGCTGAGCACGGTTGCTTTATTTGACGGCTGTATTGAAGAAGTCT